TAATGGATATTTTTAACATTTCCTAATGGGACTTAAAATGTCATAAACATMATCGTTGATTTTCGTGTAGATGARTAGTTTCGGGAGCGTTTTCGWGTTGWATTCGGTACGTTTCCGTAATGACGTTGGCAAATTTCTTTTTTGCCTATAAATTGAAATGTAAATTYAATGYTAAATACGTYCTTTMMTMCGTYCTTATTRCTCCGAACGTATCCAATCACGAGTAACAGTTTTGTGTATTTRGTYCTAGTTTTGAAGCATGCCAACAGTACAACGTTTACGTAACAAAMAAGTTACGTAAGATACTATGATGTCAGTTGCATGGTAATGCTMTCATGACKAWRMCGTTATGCTTGCGTTAYCATACGCATGGTCATGKGTAACAWGAAACTTATGTATGTTTTACGTAAGGACTCTTAGTTTAGCTTACGCATGTTAACATTCAATATCGATGTGATCACTTCTGCATGCAGATTCTAGTACTTCATATAAATAAATAAATATATGATTTCCTGTTATTATTGCATTTTTTCCTCTTTGAAATTACAAATTACAGAGATGGTCTAGCAGTACATACAACACCATATTTGTACATATGAACGAAAGGTGCTGGTACCTAATCTCGACCACAATGCACTGCGTAATGCTATTTCAGAAAGGTGGAATCAGAAATGCAAATCCATGCTACAATTCAGCGCTTTGACGTCTGGATACATGGTCTTTAAGCTTTGCATAAAAATAACAAGAGTTCGAATATAAATTGTGGTACCTTTTCATTCAAGTATTTATTTTATTTTTTCATTCATTTTGCTATTATTTGAATCGTTTGCAGTAAAACTCTCTTAAAATGATAATTGAATGATATCAAATGAAATCATCTTTAATCTATCGTACCTTTTTGCAAAGCAGGGGCTCTATTATATCTTTTCTTATTCCGTAGAAATATCCAGATAGTTAGATAACTGTGTTCTAAAGAAGGCGCAATTCTTAGTAAATCTTTCATCTTACGTAAACAAAAGAGCAGACCTCACACAGACTTCTCTGATCGATGTCGTCATGCAGGAACATTCTTGAATAGATTTGGTTTCTGTGTAACTTTCCGCAAGTCTCAAACAGTAACAAGCCGAAGTAGCAAGGCGAAGTCGAGTTCCCCTTCGATGTGAATCAGCATTTTTCGAACATTTTTTAACACAGTGTCAATATGGAAATCACAGTCCGAAATCATGCAATTTCTTTAATTAATGACCTAAGTGTCATTTTTTAAATATTAAGCAAAACAAAACAAAAAAGGTTTTGTCTACGTCCACGAAAGTTTTTTTCTCTCAAGAAAGATTATTGATAAATTTACTTCAATATTCTTAATGAAATATTTGTTGGTATAAACATGAAAATGCCGACAGAAGTTATAGCTTATTTTTATAGCGAGCTTTTCAAGAAGTATTATAAAACAATAAGTCCATTTTACTTAGAAATCGTATACTAATCTTTGATGTTCGAAATTTTCTGAATAGTTTTCGTACTTGATAATTAGATGTATTAAAGAAAACTCTAAAAGTTTGTCTAGAAGAATTTACATAGCGATCAATTATTAATTATCATGTTTTCATACTTTTCGAACTTGTTTTGGCCTCCAAATTGCTAAAAATCACAKGCAAATCTTATTTGGTAGCTATTAAGAAGTGCCAACATATAACACAACATTCGTGTCATTTCTCTATAATTAAAACCACTACCACTTCTATGATTGGCTTCTAAAAGTTTAATTAGAATTGCTCGATTCCATAAGTAATCTTCATCCAATAACAATCCAGAATCTTATCTCTAGCTTGAAGGAAGAAAAATTATGAAGCACTTGCCAAAGWTTCCGTTATCTTGAKCTTGAGAACAAGMCCATTCAAGATGGGAAGATTTTTTMCTCTCGCGCAAGTAATTTTAGTACTGACTTTCTTTCAAAACTTCGAAGGTAAGTTGAATTGTTGATGGAACTTGTTTTTTTGTTTTTAGCAAAAATTACTTAAGTGTACAAACATTTGACATATTTTCAGTTTGAAATTAGATTTTTTAAAGAGAAGTTGGCACTTCGGGATGGGTTTTTGTAAGCTTTTCTTTTTAGAATTTACGAATTTACGGAAATTAGTTCGTTACGTGTTGCTATAAACAAGAAAATGTTGCTCCTATATCAGTAAGTGCGTACGGTTTATAATTTAGACTATTTTCATSCCAATTGTAATAGTTCGTTTGGCTTCCCCTCTTTCATCTTGGTTTCACTTTTTCTTATCTTCAACTTTTGTCTTCTTATTTTTTTTTACTCTGGTTTCCATGTTTTTCTTCTCAGCTTCTTGTTCTTTTTTGTTGTTTCTTTATAATTCTGTACTTTCCTTCGTTTTTTATTGATTATTTTAATATTCTTTTATTTGAAACTGTTATCTGGTCCTTTTCTTTATTCTTTCCTTCTTTCTGAACTTCTTGCCTTTTTTAAATTCTCTTCATCTCCTTGATGATGTACTTCTTCTTTGCTTCAATACTTTTGTTCCTCAGTTATTCRTGCTACTAGTTTCTTCTTCAATAATCGTCTTGAAATCATTCGCTTCTCTTCCATCAAATTCATTTTCATTCCTTGCTATTTATTTCTTGGAGAAACTTTCTAAGTTAAGCATTTAAWTTACCCCATGCTGTCATCCTGTAGTCTATTTTCATTAATTAAAGTTCATTTGTTTATCTTATATCTGTGCGTCTTTCAGTTGAAGCAAACGATAATCACCACYTACGAAACAAGAGATCATCGGTAAGATTGCTTATCGTACATTGACAATCATATCTGCAGTATTCACAGTTGTCTATCGGAGTATTAAACGCTTGCTCAGCATTAGGAGCACCTGCATTCCCATTCCCATTTCGGGACTGTGCAATATTTAGCAGAAGGGGGGGACAAGAGTTGTCGCAAGAGTTGGCACGCTTTTCTTGAGACGTTTTCCACTTCAATAAGTATTTGGACAAAAAGTACAGAATCTGACACCGTTGATTTTTCAGTCCAATTAAAGTTCGAGTTAATATTAGACACCCCCCCTCTTCAAGCACATAAAATTATATTGTGGCCCCTCTGGATTCCTGATAAGTATCGCGCAGCCCATTAGCACGTCCTGAGTAAAATCGTTGTCGCCTTGAACATGCAAAACCTTCAAAACTTTCCTACGGTTTTTCCTCCCTCATTAAAGACGGAAAAATTTCGACGTAAGCTGTGTCCAAGGATAAGGCTTGGGTCTGTTGGTGACGGCGATTTGTAGATAATATGTAATAATGTATGTAATGGGACGGCGCTTTTGACATTTGTTTCAACATTCGTTTAACTTTGTCGAAAGGAAATGTTGAYCTCTTTTGCTCGGGGTTTTCAGCATGCTCCAATATTGTTGCGTATGTAACAGTTAGAGAATAGGTCCAACTAGAGAGCAAAAGGTAGCTCTATTTCCGTCAAATAGTGTTCTAACAAAATAACGCAAAATCCCTTAGCTTCCATTATCTATTTGAACATTTTGTACAATGTGTTACTGCTTGTTTCACTGATGTTACTATGGGGATGTACTTTGATAWTTGTTTCAATCTTTTTTCTTTATTCTTGTGTTTGCCAGTTGCTTCCAAAGCTAGAATTGACTGTTGCCCAGAATGGRGTTACATCAGAAATGGCTCCAGGGTGAGTACAGAGACTACTTTGCCTAGTGGCGCCCCCCTGTATTTGATCCTAAATACAGCTYGTCTAGGGGGAGTCGATCACCGTACCTCCTTACCTTATCGCGTGATTTAATGCCTCTTCGGTAGGGTCATGGGTTTTAATCCAGCGGTTGCATTGTTAACGCAAAACTTTAATAATTTTTTCGATTTACAGAACTGTATACACATATGACGTTGCTATCAAGCACCTATCGGGATCCATGGCGGAGGCACGTGGTGTCCARGTGGTTTGGATGCTAACGCCATACGTGACGTTTAATAACATTACGTCATTGGAGTTTCCTAAGCCAAGTGTTAAGCTAGAGGATGACAGTGTTATCTTTTTGGTAAGAAAGTGTACTTCTAACCGTCATGCATCAGGACCTTGCGTCACCGAGGGTAAACGACTTTAATCCGACGTTAACTGTCCTAACCCGAAGTTAATCCGACGTTAATCCGACGTTAACTGTCCTAACCCGAAGTTAATCCGACGTTAATCCGACGTTAACTGTCCTAACCCGAAGTTAATCCGACGTTAACTGTCCTAACCCGAAGTTAATCCGACGTTAACTGTCCTAACCCGAAGTTAATCCGACGATAATGCGACTTTAATCCGACGTTAACTCGACGAGAACTCGACAACATTAAATGTGCCCTGCCCTTCTAATCTTTGCTTTAATCCTGTTTTCCTAGTACAATGAATTATTCTGGATGCAAGATACAAAGTTCACGTTCAGCGTCACATTTGACAAGAACAAGAAGCTTCAGTATGGAAAACACCACGTGGTCACGTATGTCCAGTTTCTTTATTACAAAGACTATGTACTGGACGGTAATGGTAACGTCGCTAGTAAAGGTGTGGCTTACARTCAACCGTTGATTACCTTGAAGTTTGAGGTCGAAGTCCCTGGTAAGATTCCTCYATTTCTTGTGGTGACGAATAGATCCGTTTTGAAATTCAAAATCCTAGTGCATTGTAGTCTATCTTCAGCACAAACAACGCCATATTTGGCAACAMGAACAAAAGATGTTTGTACAGAACCTAGATCACAATGCAATGCAAACTGCTATCTCAGAAAAGGACTATGATAAAGAACTGAACYCGAGGCAACACTTTTGTTTCCCGGAGCCTCGTCTTTAGTTCCTTTYTGCATGGATTATAATGAACTTTCAAAAAGTGGCCATGGCCGATATAATCTAAAAGTGTGTTGTGTTCTCGATGTAATACTTTACGTCATCTTGATAGTTTTTATCAATACCATGATGTAATTCGRTTAATAAACTTGACGTCATTAGTGGAGAAAACACGCTTACAGCAACCTGACTTTATTTTGCACTGTCGTCAATCCCATYGTGCACCTCGSCCAATAWATTACGTCATTAAGYGTAAGAACCAATAGCATTCATTAACGAGCTGTCTAATTTCCATTAGGTTGTTCGGGTCCTCTTGGGATGAAATCCAGCGAAATTCTAGACTATCAGATCACAGCGTCTACCAGCTATCCTGAYAACCGGCCAAACCAGGCCAGAGAGGGTAAGCGTCAATCAATCATTCTGTCTTTCCATGGTAACAATGTCTTAAAGCGTTTCTAAGTCAACGATACCTTTTAACGTTTCTATGGTAACTATATCTTAGTATGTTTCTATGGCAATAAGGAAGTTTCCGTGGTAGCGTTATCTTATAACGGTTTCTCTGACAACGGTATCTAATAACGTTTRCATAGTYACAATATCTTATAASGTTTCTATGGTAACGGTTTCTTCTGACGTCATAGGGGAAGACTCGTGGTGTGCCCAAGAGAGTGARAAACACCAGTTTGTTCAAGTTGACTTTCCACACGATACGATAATAACACGCATTACAACATTTGGTCGTCGCAGCAAAACGAAATGGACTACTTCTTATTCACTACAGTACAGTCAAGACGAAATYAAATGGTCGGATTACGAAGAGAATGGCTTCGTCAAGGTAATATATCTGATAATGGATCTAAATACTAGTGAAAATCCTTTTAATTC